AGAAGACCATGGAAGCGGCAGATTGCAATGATTTTCAACTCAAGTCTTCAGGTGTCAAACCTTCTGCAATTTTCCCCAAGTCATTCTTCTTTTCTGAATCTGTAAATGTTTTAAGCAAAAATATGCCCATTACAAACTGATTTTAACCAGAGTTCTGGTTAATCAGTGCAAAACTTTAAAAACATGTGCGGCTACTAAGATTTATTTTCTACTCTGACAGTTATTGCCATATGAAACAAATGATGTGCTTCACTCGTGTTTCTGTGTGCTGTGTGTATGCAAGGGTAGGGATGCTGGTAAATAACATTTAGGAACAAATCATGTCCCTTTTTGAGAGTGCCAGCTTACATGTTAAGTACAAGAAAAATATACAATCCCAGTTCATTTCCCCCCTCAGTGTAATGAAATGCTATCTTCTATCTAGTATATAATTCTAAAAACTTATTAAATATTTCAAAAGTTATGAGCCATGATATATGACATATGAAAAAATCAAAGTATAGGATTGGATGGAGTGCCTTGATCCAATACACAATCAGTACCCTTGGATTATCTGCAAGGTGAAATCTTCAGATTCACATAAACTTACATTCACATAAACTTACTCATATGCCATTTGGGAGAAATTAGAAGTAGGTGTAGAAATTTTTTTTGTATCTAATCTAAAATTTGGCTTTTAAAAAATATATCAGATTTCAGTTAAAGCTACTGTCCTAGAAAATTTGTTTAACATAATATTCAGTTTAGTCTCTGAAATGCATACATAATAACAGAATTAAAATTCCTGTTTAAAATTTTTATTTATTTGTTTATTTGAAAGGTAAAGAGAAAGAGACTTACCATTTGTTGATACACTTACAAATGCCTACAGTAGCCATGGCTGGATCAAACCAAAGCCTCAAGTTAGGAATTTAAACTCCATCTCCCATGTAGGAGACAGGGCCCCAAGCACATGGGGCTGCCTCCCAGCATAGGAGTCAGAAGAAGCTGAAATTGGAGGCAGCGCCAGGTCTTGAACTCAAGCCCTCCAATATGCAATGTGGGTGTCCCAAGCAGCTTCTTAACTGCTTAACAAAATACCCACTTCATGGTATTATCATTGCTATTTCCCATAAATTGATTTAGCAAAGAAAAAGGTTATGTATCCCAAAGTATTAACCCTTAACACATGATAGCTTGATAGTACCCCAAGGACTACTATTTATAATTATTTATGGTTAATTTTAGGTCACTTGTATCCAAAACTTGATTGTAAGGTACTTCTAGGTAGGTAGTATATCATATTTATCTGTGTATTTCATAGTACATTGTACAGCAAACTACTCGTGATTGTCACATGTCACATACATCACATATCACACTTTGACCATAGGGTATATGCTATGTGTACACATTTCTAAAAGGGACTATAGTATCAAATGGTATTTAAAAGATACTTTATTTTTGAGTTTCCTATTTCAGCAAGATAGTCAATTCCCCATTCCCACTTTTCCACACACATAAGCCAATCCTATACTCACTGCCTTTCATAGCCTCTTTTGTTCAAGAAATGCACTAGGATCAGTGCCTCTGACCTCACCTTCTCCTTCCTCTTCTAGAAAGGCATTTATGCACCACATGAAAGCCTCTTCTGCTGTTATTCATAATCATTGCTACTGTATCCATTCTGCCTTCACCAGTCTTGTTACCAACCTTCTTTGCTTGTGTACTCTACACAGGCTAGGCCAGCAATTCTTCACATTTTACACTCAGAAATTTGTTGATGATCATTTCATTCCTCTCATAGGATCTCACATTCAGTATGTTTTTTTTTTTGATAGGCAGAGTTAGAGAGAGAGAGAGAGAATGGTCTTCTTTCCATTGGTTCACCCCCTAGATGGCTGCTATGGCCGGCATGCTGCACCTATCTAAAGCCAGGAGCAAGGTACTTCCTCCTAGTCTCCCATGTAGGTCCAGGGCCCAAGGACTTGGGCCATCCTCCACTGCCTTCCCAGGCCACAGCAGAGAGCTGGACTGGAAGAGGAGCAACCAGGACAGAATCCAGCACCCCAACTGGGACTAGAACCCGGGGTGCTGGCACCGCAGGCAGAGGATTAGCCTAGTGAGCCACAGCGCTGGCCTCAGTATGTTTTCTAAGTAAATGTCACTTAATGTTTTCTTCTCTCTCTCTCTCCTCCCTCCTGCACACAGCCTCTCCCTATATAAAGTAATAGTAAGAATGATGAAGAAGACAATGGAGATATGATTTACACAGTTTGGGAAGAGGAAGCCTTTCTTTGTCATTTGCATGTTATTTTGCTCAAACATGTTTACATCAGAGCTTCCCTGTTATTTGAGGAAATCATTATGTTGCACAACAAATTGACTTTATTGCAGAACACTGATTTTCTCTTTGGCTGATTTTACTTTTTTGGAAAGCAAGTACTACTTACTCAATGTGAACAGGATTCTATCTGTGAAGGGTATTTAAGCAGTGTCCTACAAATGGAACTTCTATGATTTTGACTTCTCATATTGGGGAAGTCCTTTTAGAAAAGCAATCAGAAATGTGTTGCAGAAGATTCACCCAAAGGCTATGATCTTTCTTGCCAGTGCGACTGCAATAGGGAATGATCACAAGGCATTTCTTTCCAGCAGCAGATGCAAGCAAACTGCTGTATAATACATGAGCTGGAAACTCAGGTTGTCTCAGATTTTAAGGTTATTTTTATATCATTACTTTTATGTATTGTTTATTTTTATAATTTACAGTTTCTACTGTGAAGGCAAGTGAAATAAATAGGTAGATTTTTGACTTTTAATCATCCAGAAATAAAAAAGTAATACCTGAGCTATTTGCTTCTCAAACCCTCCAAATGAAGAAAATTATACATCCTAGTAAATAATAAAGGCATAATATTTTAAAGAATGGGCTAAGGAATGATTTTAGTAAATTTTGTCCTGATTAAAATCATTTAAGAGTACAAGTTATAGTATTTTGTATGTTCTAACAGTTAGGCATGATGTGATTCTTCTTAGTAAATCCATGTATCTGTTTACTGGGACTCTTTAAAGGAGAAGAAACACACACACACATCCTGACATACATACTCTCACACTCATACACATTCATATACACAGTCACCCATACTTACACACTTACGCACACACACCCTCACACACACACTCATATACATGCTCACCCATACTTACACAGTCACACACATATCACACACATACTCTCACAGTCACACATACACACTCACTCATACACACACTCACCCATACACACACTCACTCATACTTAGTCACTCACACACAAACAATTATACTATCTGATATTAGTTAATTGGGCAGACTAGGATTAGTTATATTTCATCAAACTTTCCAAAAATATCTTTCAGAGGGAAAAAATTCATCTCTGGATGCCACTGGGCCTTGGAAATCATAGCTACACCTTCTGTTTCATTGTGGGCTGGCAGAAAATAACATACAGCTCCTTGTAGGAGCTCAGCTATTTTTCACTGTGAATTAGAACACACTTATCCATTGTGTGAATTCTTTTTTTTTTTTTTTTGACAGGCAGAGTGGACAGTGAGAGAGAGAGAGACAGAGAGAAAGGTCTTCCTTTGCTGTTGGTTCACCCTCCAATGGCCACCATGGCTGGCATGCTGCGGCTGGTGCACCACGCTGATCTGATGGCAGGAGCCAGGTATTTCTCCTGGTCTCCCATGGGGTGCAGGCCCCACAAGGTGGAGGATTAGCCTAGTGAGCCGCGGCGCTGGCCCCATTGTGTGAATTCTAAACTTCTTACATTTTAGACTGAGCTCCATTTTAAGAACAAACTTTTCCTATTTTTTTAAAATGTTTTCTAATTCTTCATTGTATTAAATGTATTATTTCCAAATACTAAGGCCTTAGGCTACAGTCCTCTCTTAAAGGTTAGAGTTTACAATTAATTATTGAATCCTACAATATGCAGGCATTTATCTAAATTATTTACTTAATTTAACCATCTTCACATGAATTCTGGGTTAAAGGTCAGGAAATGAAGGAAGTAGGGTTGAATAAGCAGGTGAGTGGCAGAGGTTGTGCTCTTAACATCAGATGAATGTGGCTTCTTGGGTAACCAAGAGTCTGCTTGTGTGTCTTAGTTATCATAGCAATACTTAAGTTATCATAGCAATACTTACTATCATAATTAAATAGAGGTATTTTCTAATTCTTCTGTTTTTAATTTCAAAGATTTATTTATTTATTTGAAAGGCAGAGCTATATAGAGAGGGAGAGAAACTAGAAAAAGGATCTTCCATCCACAGGTTTAATCCTTGAATGGCCACAATGGCCAGGGCTGAGCCAGGCTGAATTAAGAAGCCTGATCTCCATCTGGGTCTCCCACATGGCGGCAGGGACCCAAGTTCTTGGCTCTACTGCTTTCCAACAAGCTCCCTGCTAATTCTATTGGGAAAGTAGCAGAAGAATGCAGATGGAGTTCCTGGCTCTTGGCTTTGGTTGACCCAGCCCAAGACCTTTGTGGTCATTTGGGGAGTGAACCAGTGGGTGGAGGATCTCTCTCTCTGTCTCTCCTTCTCACTTTATCACTTGCTCTGCCTTTCAAATAAATAAATAATGCTTAAAAAATGGAGAATCATTCTGTTCATACTTAGACCTCAAGCCTGTGTGTTAAGAACTTACTAAATTTCATATCTAAAATTGTTTTCTAGAGAGGATTTTGTCCATCTTATTATAATATCATATGATGAGTGGTTATATACAGTTCATGTTTTGTAAGGAGAAAATTTGACACATCTCCAATTAGGTCATCAGTTGTTTGAAGGCAGATTGGAAAACCAAGGAATGTGTTGCGCATGATGGAGGTGAGAGTATTTTACTGCTTCTGCTCTCCATTTGTCCCAAGACTAGCACAGCACTTGGGAAAGCAGTAACTCGGCCATGATGAATACAGTAAATCACATGATTACATATATTTGAATGAATGAGTTGGTACTAATTTTTTTCAGATCCCAAGAAGGAAATTACAAGTCTGAAGTCAACAGCAAACCCAGGAAGGAAAGGACAGCATTTACCAAGAGCAAATCCAAGGACTAGAAGCAGAATTTGCCCATCACAACTATGTGACTAGACTGAGGAGATACAAGATAGCAGAGAATCTGGATCTCACCAAAAGACAGGTAAAGCTGGGCATTGCCAGGGATTGTTTTCATTGCTTTGGTTCAATAACCCTCTTGTACCATTTTTTAAATATCTGGAATCATTGTTCTTAATTATCAAAAGGAAGAAAGGTGTGCTATTTAATGATTAAGTATTTTTACCCAGCAAAATGAAAAAATTAAAAATCAGTGAGTGATTTTATGGGGGAAAAAACCCTACATTTATTGAGTTTAAAGAAGAATTCTGTGTTCTGCAATAACGTTCTTTCTGTATTTGTTGGTGGTGAGGAGGTGTGTGTGAAAATATTTATTTGACATAATGATGGAATGTGGTGAGGAATTTTGTATCCTTTCAAAATCTCCTATTTGGCATGTTAGAAAGTTGACAACCCCTGAGTAGTTTCCTGTATTGGTCAGAATAGGGTATATTATGTTGCGCTAACACATTAGCTTCCAAGCCTCAATGGCATGATACAAAAATGCTCATTTGCTCACTCTCCATACTGAGTCTCCTAAGTCCAGGCTTCCAAATAAACACTCCCAGCATGGTGGCTCTCTGGCATCTCCACACACAATGTCATTGGGAACCGCAGAAGGTGAGAAGTCATTGCAAGTTCATGCACTGGCCCTTGAATGCTTGCATGGCCATGACCCGCATTAATGTTTCAGGTTCAGAAATTGTCAAATGGTGCAACATAGAGGAAATGATGGAATACAAGGGCACGTAGACCACTCATGAATATTTTTGTCCCATTACTCCAAATATTTTTGAAATTGTGCTGGTCTTGGTAATGCAAAATTCTGCTACTAACTCAGAGAACACTTTGGAATTATTAAAAATTTGCGGATCTCAAATAGTAAGACCTAAAGAGTACTATTACATTAATTTTGTATTAATTACTTCCTAGATCCCCTTCTTGAATTTTATTTGGATGACAAATGGTCTCCTCTTATGATGCTCCCAGCACACTCTTTGTAAGGGCTGTGACTTGCCCTGGGAGAATCTAGCCGACTTACGGTTACCAGTTGTTCAGCTTCAGATAAACATTCCTGAAAGTCAAATGCAAAATCTTTATGGACAGTGCAGTTATTATTGACACTTGGAGGGCTGGAGTCTCATTTCCTCTTTCACTGTACACACCTCCTCCGGGATCCCACTGGAACCAAGGAAATATCAACAGGGTGCAGACATATGAATACATATCTTAGGTGAGCAAACTGTTCATCTAATTTCTTAAATCATCTTCTTTCCTCTGTTAATTTTACATCTCAACCCTGTTAGGTTACTTCTGGGTGGGGAAAATGCATACAGGAACACTTTCATGTGTTTTTATACATTGCCAGTTTGTGTTTTATTAATCATGACTAGTACCTAACTTATGGAGCATAACATTTCCTTCCCTTGAACTTCACAAAGTTCCATCTATAAGTGTACAGCTTATGGCATGCAAGAAATCCTGTTCCAAAATCTATCATCAGACAATAGTTTCACTATGTTTTCATTTCTAAAAAATTGTTTACTTAAAAATTTATATACTTATTTGAGAGGCAGAGAGAAAGAGAGGGGGCATTTGTTTTATTGTTTTTTAATTTCTAAAAAAAATATTATTTATTTACTTATTTGAGAGCAGAGAGTGAGAGAGAGAGGGGATACAACTATTGCTTGCTCATACCCCAAGTGCACATGATGATCCTCGGCTCGGGGCTGAAGCTGGGAGCCAAGAATCCAATCCAGGTCTCCCTTGTGAGTAGTAAGGAACTCGTTGACTGAGGCTACCACAGTGGCATCCCAGGATCTATGTTAGCAGGAAGCTGGAGCCAGGAGCTGAGCTGAACCCAACATGGAATGCAACCAACCAACATCATAACTGCTAGACCAAAACCTATCCTGTGTTTTGCTCTTGTTTAATTATTTCTTTAACTGGGAACAGGACAATAGGCAGGGGGAACCACAAATTTCTGTCATTATAGAGAGACAGTGAACTCCAGGAAAGTTAACTGTGTTTTATATAATACATGAAGGGAGATGGAAATTGGAGTTTGCTTCCAGTGTTCGTAATGATGGCTGTAATACTGAGCCTTCAGTGAAGAACAAAGTAGAAACTCTGTGTTTACTAACCTGGGGATCTTGGTTTTCCCCAGCTATCTAGGCATTCAACAGGTTTCACTTTTGTATGAGTGTAATTCCTTTTGAAAAGTAATTCTATAAGCCTAGTTTGAGAGGTTTTGAAGGTATTTGATATTTTTTCTTTTTTTTCTTAAATGACTTAACACTATTGAAAAATAATGATATGTAAATATGATATATCTACATATGTACACATATGTGCACACACAACTTTATTCACTTCTTTGAAGTCCCTTTTCAATGCCATGATGTTAAGCCAATGCTGTATAATAAACCACTCTACACATTGCTGGATCTTAATGGATACCGAGCTGTAATTCACTCACAATCTTGTGCATCAGATTTGGACTGGAATTACTTGGCCAGTTTTATTGCCAGCAGTACCTGCCTTCCTCATGAATCTGCATTTGGCTGATGGGTTGACTATGAGCTGACTGGGCCTCCACTAAAACAATGCATTTCTCTTGCATGTGTTTCCATCTTCTACCAGGATAGGCTGGAATCCCAATCTTCAGGTGGTTGTAGAAGCATTTCCAGGAGCTCTGAGAGGGAAAGCTGCAACATGGAAGGTTTCTCAAGTCTTTGCTTGGATCATATTTGCTAATTTAGTTTCATTGTCCAGAGAAAGTCATACAATCAAACTCAGTGTGGACAGGAGAAGGAGATTATGTCATTGCCAGACATTCTTAGAATAATCTAAGCATGGCCTTGGTGGAAAAAACAAACAGCAAAACACTTGAGTAATAATTATGTTTTCAAAGAACTGAACAGTTGATATTATGCAGATTATATTTATTCCACAAATATTTAGGTGCAGTTTTGCAAGATAATATGAAAAGGAGATGAATGTGGGTGGAATGTAAATTCCCAATTAAAAGTAAGTCCTCAGGGTTCCTCAGAAAGAATTCAATGGTTATGTAAAACACTGATTAGAATTCTGAGATTTGCCATTCAGAATTGTGTTTTGTTAGGTAAGTAACAATCTTTTCAAGACACAACATGGAGATTAAAATTGCATGCTCTTTCTTTTCCTTAGAATTCTATATTATAATGCATATGAAAGAGTTCTTAGCATAAAGTACAAAAACCTAACCATCAACCACAGGAGGAAAATCTTTGATATACATGTCAACTAATTATTTTATAATACAAATATACATTGAGCCAGGTGTTAGATGTAAAATATTGTTACATTAAGCTAGAAAAGTAACTTCCTGAACACACAGAAGAGGCAAAAACTGAACTAGTAACAACACTGTGGTCAGCATTGAATGTCACAAGAGAAGAATGACAGGATCATATACGAATATGTTCCTGGTTTCATCAAATGTAAATTTATTCTTATCCTTCTGCACCTGTACAGCATCTTAAGATTCTAAAGGCTTTATTTTTATTCTCTAGGCTGAATTTTACTGTGCTGAACTTATCAGAAGAAATATTGTAGATTTCAACCATCAATTTTTCTATTATTAGTGACCCAAAGACGTATTTCTCCAAAATGCCAGGGCTTTCATCCAGTAAAATATTTTCAATTTATTTTCTGAAGATTGGGCTCTTAAAGTTATAGACATAGATTTATATACAGAATTCTACCTTCTTAAATTGGGAAGCTGCCTGTCCTAGTCCATTGGGGTTGCCAGAGCAAAATCCCATAGACTGGATGGTTTACAGACAGCATGAACTAGTTGCTCACAGCTGAAGGCTGGGATCAAAGTTAAGACACCAGCAGAGTTCCTGTCTGATGAGGGCCTGCTTCTTCCTGGACAGCAAAGGTCTCACATGGGTGAGAGGTTTGGCTGAGCTCTCTGGGCCTGTTCTACAAGGCACCCAGCCCAATCACAAGCGCTCTGCCCACATGAACTAATCACTCTCAAAAGTCCTTATTTTTTCAAAAATAATTTTTTGAAAGGCAGAGAGAGAGAGAGGAGAGAGAGAAGTAGAGAGAGATAGGGTGATCTTCCATCTGCTTGTTCACTCTCCAAATGGTCACAACTGCCTCAGGCTGGTCCAGACTGAAGCGAGGGGTCCAGGACTCCATTTAGGTCTTCTGTGTGGGTGGGTGGCAGAGCCCAAGAACTTGGGCCATCTTCTGCTGCTTTCCCAGGCCCTTCAGTAGGGAGCTGAATTGGAAGTAGAGCAGCTGGGATTTGAACTGGAGCTCATATGGGATGACAGTGTTGCAGGCAGATGCTTAGCCCACTGCACCAGTGTGTGGGTCTCAGACCTCACTTTTAATGTGGTCACCTTCACAGACAGGATTCTAACATTTGGAGTTTGGAAGGTACAAATGTTCAAACTACAGTATAGCTATTCAATTACTTTAATTTTTCACTAATGCCATGCATGCTTATCATGTAATCCTCATCTTGGTCTTGAGTGATACTGTTTTGCAGGATTTCCACATATTAAATGCTCTAACTAAAGGGTGCAAGATCTCTCTCTCTCTTGCCTTCTCCATAACTCTGACTTTCAAATAAATTAACAAATCTTTAAAAAATCTAACTACATATATGCATTCTTTTCACTTGCATTCTTCAATGCACACTTTGAAATACTGTGATTTAGTACAGGAACTTACACATACTCACAAAGGAATATTGTATCAAACCTCATACTGATCAATGTTTTCCTTCACTTAAATAGGATCCTCTAAATCTAACAAATGCTTGTCTTGACTTTGCCAAAGCTTTTCAAGATGTAAGTACAAAGAAATTCTATCCTGCAAATGGGAAAAACAATAAGTGTTAACTCATCTAGCTCCATGGTAGGATTGTTTAAGAGAAATAATTTTCTCTTAAATGACAACTGACTTTAAAATCAAAACTAGTCTTTGACATGTTTTCATACGTAAATTTATTGTGATTACCTACGAAACATCCATTTCTATAGCTGA